AGTACCATGGCCTCAAACTGTGGATTTATCGAGAATAATTCAATGCCCAGGCAGTGTCGGGATGGTGCTGAATTGGGGGAAAAATCAGCTATGGACTGGACCCCTTCCTTCCCTCCTGCAAAAAAGTATAAAGGATTCCTTTCACAAGTTGTATTTATAAAACAACGCCCGAACATTGTTTCAACATGGTAGCCGGTAGCCCTTGAACCACCCAGTTACTGAATAGGGCACTTGTTGGGATGGTACAGAGTGGTGTCAAGAACCCTCCTGAGATTTTTTTTTCCCAGTTTTCATCAAGCACCACTCCTTTACTACAGTTTTAAAAGGAAGAAGAAAAGGAATAACACATGTGATTACTTGTACTACATGTGATATATTATACATAACCGACAAAATTATTGTAATACTAACTTAGTTTTACTTCGCCTTGGCCTTTCTGAGGTTGCACAAAACCTTCATAACCGATAGGGGACGACCCTATACCGATACCCATTTGTATCCATTTGTGATACCTCCGGGAGTACTGAAATCCTCACAACCGATAGGCACGACCCTAATTTGTGCATTAAATTTAACATATAATTTTGTCCGCTACTCATATACACGTTCATTTTATTACATCCACTGCAATTATTTTGAACACCTCGTTTTGCGATGAACGTTTGCCCCAAGCCACAAAAGTCTTCCAAGGCACTGCCTTTACATGTGTCGAGGCTGAGCCTCAGGTGCAATCGGGATGTTTTTGGAGGACATAATGACTCAGCGACAGAATGGGATATGTACTCACTTAGGAATCCAATTTGGGTGTGTCTAAAAATGGAGGGATATTGCCGATCGCCAAAACTCGCTTAAATTTGCCATTGGGGGAAAACATGATAAGCCGGGTTTTGAGGCACCCTGTTTTTAGATAAACCAAATAGAGGTGTAGCCATCAGAAAAGAAATGATATGGGGATTGAATGAACAGGACTGGGAGGAAGGGGTAATTAAGTAAGATTTTGGAAGTCTATGAGCAGGTGATAACTCGCCAAAACAAGGCATTCGACCAACAAGGAGCCGACAAAAACCATGAGTCAATGGGCATGGGTCAATACAGTACCTATGGCCGAATGATGTGATGAAAACCCACCATGAGCAAAGCCCAGTTGATCCAGTTAATTTTGTGTTTTGTTGACAGCTGAACCAAGCAATGTCCAAAACCCCTGTTGGCTAATGGTTTAGTTGTCTTACAGGCTTATGATGCTTATACTCTCATGGCATATATTTTGATAGATTTCCGGGAAAATTAATGAGATCTGCAAACTTGGAATCCACCCCTCAACGCGCTAGAAGAGGAGAACATATATAATATAACATTATATATAATACATTACATAACTGATATCACTGTGTGCGCTCCTTCAATGATTTAAAACACTTTTACAAATGTTGGTTTTATCCGCAGCACCGCCGTGATCTTGCGGACCTGCATTGTTTTGGTCCTTACCCCAACGGAACTGATTGCAAAGTCACTCCGATGCCAGGAGCGCTCAATAGCAGGTCAGGGCGAACAAGATTTATCCCGTTTGCAGCTGCAATTGGCTCGAAGTGAGCAGGCACATGCTGAAGTCATGTGAAGTATGGGGAAGTACTGCTGAGCAGACTCGGCATATGCATGACACATGTTTGGGGCGGAGACGTTGGCAGAGTTGCTAGGCCAGACCCAAGAGCAGCAAAATCACTGGTAGTGGCCCAAGGTTTTAGAACAGTTTCAGAGTCAATCCTGTAGCGTCATGTGCTCGGGTCAACTTGATCCACATTCCTGGGAATTTGCCAATTGTAAGGTCGAGCACATCGGCAGCTGCTCTCTTTGGCTGCAGTGCTTGCAGCCATGGCAGGCACTCTGCAGTTGAACAATCTGGATCATTTTGACAGCCTTCACCGTCTCCATACTCGAAGAATCCAAAGTTATTTTCGTCCCAATGGGTCTGTCTAAGACGCCAAATCCATACTTTCTAAGACGCCAAATCCATACTTTCTAAGACGCCAAATCCATACTTTCTAAGACGCCAAATCCATACTTTCTGTTACTTTCCAATAGGGATAATATATAATATATTATGCATAATATGGTCAATTGGAGGACTACCCCCTTTTCAGACTCTTTCAGACCTCAACATTCGCGATGTGCGTGGACCCCTCCGTCCTGTTCCTGTTGAGGCGTCCTGCACTTCTCCAAAAGTGATCCACCAGGCCGAGCCAAGAGACATAAAGATTGGACTGTTTCACCATATTTCAGAGCTTGATAATCTTGATAGGAGCACATGAGCCGAAGATTGCTCCAGTCTACATGACATATCATGACATGATGTTATATAACGATACGATACGATACGTGTATATATAATATAATATTATATAATATAATAGTATTTATTTATATGAGAGGATGTCATAAACAATATGTCATGGGGCGAGATTGCACCGAAGCCATCATCGAACCCATCATGGCCGGGAGAACTAACAGATTTCTTTTGCAGAGGCATTGTCCATGAGATGGGCTCTGTGAAACCAGTGGAGTTGAGTGCCTTGGTATCCTTGGTCATCCGAGGAACGGCATGGAATGATTGGAATGTCCAATTTTTAAGAAGGTCAACAAGGCAAGAGGTGCTGATCGGCTGATCGTTGAAAGATTGCAATTGGCAGTCGACATGACTTTCGGAGATTGCAACCATGAGCAGTATAAGCTGAAGAGGCTGAAGGGTGCAAGATATTGAAAGGGCCAGTTTATATCCAGCTATATCCAGCTACTGTATCATATGTTTCAACATATTTCATCCCAACTGGAAAGTCAAACAAGCAAGGCATCCTAGTCTGCCTTCAGGATCTTCAGGCCACACGACTCGGTGCACACTCGGCCCAGCTGAGGTCCACTCCCAGAGCCAGACATTCCGGAGATCAGCACCTTGGAGAAATGCCATGCCTCGGAGTGCAGATATGTATGATATGTCAGATATGTATGAGGCATGGTTGGCCCCTGATGTGTTTTCCTTTGCTGTAACACCTGTAGAGTGATCTAGTTCCCATTTGTCCTTTCCTGCGGTTCGGTCCTTGGAGTCTCAAACGACGATGTTGAATATGACGAATATGTTGAGAGTATCAGGGTAAACCAACCAAGGGTAGGCTACCAGGTCAAAAGGTTCAGTTATTTTCTGTCCCACCATGCACTGTCTGATACCAAATCATACCAAAGCCGTCTCCCCAAGATCCGGTTAAAGCCTAGCTTCCCCTATGGCCAAATTTCATAGATGTTGTAATGATTGTCATGGATGAATTCCCCATTTGTATTATATGACTGGTTATCACATGACATATTCCCATAAGGGAGTTGATATCAGCCCCCACTGAGATTGCCAGAACTTAGGGATAGTGATGGTATCCCCTACATATGTCCCTATATCCCATGATAATCCCATAAAACGGTTGGTTGAACCCCCATTTGAGTTGCGACTTCTTGATAAATCCTTTGTTGTGGGAATACAACCACAACCAACATTGCTGACAGGGTATCATTAGAGATATTAAAGTTTGATTGCCATAAATGATGGTTTAATCACGCATAATCACACATAATCACACGCATGCTGCTTGGTTTGATGTTGCCTGTGCTACCACAGCCAAGGCAGCCTCATTGGTACACCCATGAGGCGCCAGACTTAGCTTGAGGCAATCTACTAGTAGCTTTATGAAACGGTTTCATACAGATCCAATGTCAAGATTTGATAGAGTTGGATACATTTGGTATATGTTGATATTATACATATAAATATGTTGTAGTCATAAATGGTTATATCATGTTATACCGATATATTCAAAATATTCAGTGAGATCCTCATGTCATGACAGGTCCAACGTTTTCCCAGTCCTCGGGCACAAGATCCCACGTGGGCGAAGTCCTGAGTTAATCTACTACGTTGGAAGCTCAGCACAGTGCCCACGGCCAAGGGATGCCAAGGGTTGTACAGTGGAGCAGCACACAGGAACTGCTTCAAACATGTTCAAACTAAGTGTTGGAAGACATGGCGTTCTCCAAAAATGGCAGATAATTACCCTAAATCCACTGGTTAATCATATTGTTAAGCATAGTCCAAATTAAAAGGCATTGTTGAGGTGTTTGCCCCATGTTTGGAGAATAAACATATTGAAACGTTGGCATCACCAAGGTTGAACAGTTGCGCAGTCGAAACAGGGAGGAGCTGCAGAAGCGACCATTTGTATCCAATCCGGTCGGGATGAACTATGTTTCAGTGGGATGGAATGGACTTTCACGTACTCAAATTTGGGCTCAAACCACCAACAATCATCAACCATCATCAACAATCATCAACCATCATCAACCATTAAATCCCCATGAAATCTCATTAATTCCCATGAAATCCACATTTCTTTTAGACCGGGGAGACCAGCCGGAGACCAGCCAGCCAGCTTCTGAATGATCTCCTGATATCTCCAGGAGCGGCACCAAGCTTTGATGAGTTTGTTGGCCACCGCCCGTGGCGGCATCGACATGCGCAACGCCATCATGCAGGCGCCGCAGCGGAGCGATCAACGCGTGCGGGCCACTGTGGGGTACATGTCGTAACCCCCAAAGAGTTTCAAAAAACATGTACATCATGTACTACTAGAAATACCTAAGATACCTGAAAAAGCAGGATTTGACTTTTCTGTGTGTTTGGAGGTTGGCATAAGTTTACGGGTGATGGAACAGGTATCATGGGCTGATTTTTGTTTTGCTGTGCAGTGGATGTTTATTCACGCTAGTTGTCAATACAGTCAACACATGATGGCAAGCAGTCGTCGAAGAACATATAATCCATAGGAGATGAGCTTCGATTTCCAGCACCGCAGTGCAGAGTGTTTTTTGGCGATTTTAGTGTTTCAGACTGGACATGATCCGGGTTGAGATCAGAACAAGATCAACGAAACAACATGTGGGGTTTCATCCCAATTGCAAGGCTTCAAAGTCCACGTCGCGTGGGTCATGGAAAATTGACAATTCAATATAATGCACATAGTAAGCTGTTAGAACAATATACAATATAATTGGTGATATTGATGGGTGATGAATGAGTGGTTGAATATGGCTATAGTTTACAGATGTTTACACTTTGATTAGCTATTGATATCTATTGAATTCTATTGATGCTATTGTTAAGTTTCCAGTGGTACCACTTCTCCATCGTTCATCGTTTGGAAACGAGCGGCTCGAGTTTTGCCGACCGCTCCGCCATGAAGTCTTCACTCTCAGAGCTCGCTGGAGGTGCCGTTGACATTCCTGTGATGCTCGAAGTTAGGAATACACTGGAAAATGATAGGTATATAATTTGGTAAATGATAAATTTATATTAAATTTATACAATATAATATAGTAATGTATAGTATATATATATATATATATATTACTTGTAATTCAGCCATAGCCAGTCCACTTTGATCCACTTTGATCATTTTCATCAGCTTTGATCTAAGTTTTGATTTCGAAGATGACCTGATAGCCATATATAGCCGCTATATAGCCATACAAGTCATACAAGGTTCAGGGAGCATTCTCAGGCAAACAACATCGTACTGTTTGCACGAACTTCAAAGCACTGGCCGACTCCCTCAGGTGGCAGAGCAAGCTTGAAGGAAAAATGGATATGCCGTTGCTATTGTTTCTGGCTATTTGCGATCTTCGAATCTTGGAATGCGATGGAAGGTGTGCCTTTTTTGAGTACTTTTTCCAATGCTCCGCAGGGTTTTCAATTTGTTAAAGTCAGTCTTGCCAGTGTTTGGTGCTCGCTTCTCGCTTGCCCAAGGTCATAGGGGTGCTGTTGATCGTCATGGGTGCCATGAAGAATCTCACGCTGTCCGGCAGTTCAGACGACTGGTCCTTCGCTCTATCTTTTGACTCAGAAGGCCAGGGCGTGTTGGCACTGATCATCGGATGTAGCGTCACAGCTTGTACCGTGTGCCTATGCTGTGTCCCCATCTGCTGGGCTCAATGTGCTTCACCGGAGATGCGACATGCTCTCGGTCAAGAGTGGTCCAAATTTGTGAGATGTGTTGGGCCGGTGTGCTGCTGTTGTTGCCACTGCTGTAACAATTGCTGTGGCTACTTTTGTGAAACCTATTGCTGCAAAAAAAGAAAACGAAATTCAGACACACCCACAGAAGCCTATGTGCCGAGAACTGACCCATATGCCATTCCAGGAATGCCCGAGATGGTGGAAATGGGACGGGCGGTTGAAATGAAGGCAACGGCTATATAGACGTGTCGAAGTTGGCTTGGAGTGGATACAGACACGAAGTGTTCTCTGAACCACTTTGCTGATGACTATATTTGCACATATATATGATGTATTTTTCTTGCCTGCAGCAATCAGGCAGATGACATGATTACACGCAGGACCAAATAGCAGGCGTATGATTGCGTATGTAGATAAAGTTGATGAAGTTTGATCCGTATCGGTTGCAATAGGAGAGTTTATACAGAGACATTTCGCTACCTGATGCAAACTAGTTATCGATCGTTTGCTCCCTCTATTGAGCTATTGAATGGGTTTCGACTGCCGACCTCAAGCAATGTTTGGCCTTTCATGATGAAATACAGGCATGAACATCAACCTTCTGAATGATTTACTGTTGAAAAAAAGGCAAGCGTGGGGGTTTTGACTATTCTATACTTACCGAATCTTACCAAACTAGAACTCGTTCAGAGCGAGTCTTTTGAAAGTCTTTTGGTCCTTCGTCCTTCAAGTGTTGTTCGCTTCGGTTGAAACCGGAGGGCGGGCTCCATTGAGGTGTATTCTACTAGGATGCCGGCTGCCCAGAAATATACCGGGAGCCGACTAGGCCCATTGCAAAGGCCCTTAAGACCCAACTGGCTCTGAGCAGATTGGCAGCTTTAGGCATTTAGAAATTGATACAACATGATACAAATGGATGCAAATGGATGCAAAGAGTCTTGTGCACCAAACTGATGATATTGATGCAGGGCAGTATGTGGCTGTTGGAAGCTGGAGCAAAGTCAGTGGGCCTTTTGAAGTTTCACCAAAGATCACCAAAGCAAAGTCTCAGATGCCAAAGTGCAAAAAACCTGGCAAGATCAGCGGTATGAAAATAGCGTTTGTGTTGTGGCTTGTCTGTTTTTGGGGCATCAAAATCGCAGCAGATGACAAAATCCCCAGATACCCGGACCCGATGTGCTTCAGCAATTGACAGCTAGTAGCACTAGGGTGGATTTAGACAATGGGGGCCACCCCAAAAAAATCCCCAAATGGCAAATCAAGTCATTGAAGTGTAATATACAATCATATACATATCGTATAATTACATATTTAATATACAATAGTATACATAATTCTTCATGGGGAAGTTATGATCAACCACGAGATGAACTCGGGGTATCCGCTGGATGAAGCAAGGCTGGAGCGGTGTTGCCATTGGTGGAGCTCCTTCGTGAGATGGCAGCACCCGGAATACAGGAGGCGCGTCGGATGAGTTGGAAGTCAAGTCAGAGTGGCTTGTTGGAGTGATAGAATTCCATAGTTTGTAACATGTCTAATTACAATATAAGTTATATAATGTTATATATAATATATATAATTATATATATATATATGTACCTAATTATACTCTATTAATCCCTTCCCCCTAACACTAACCCCCCCAAAATAATAAACACCTCAGGTAGTTTTTATTATTAGGGGGTATTTATTATTGGGGTGCGAAGCTTCCCCCTGAGACTAAATTAAAACCCTAATCTAAAAAAAGTTTTTTTCTATTTCAAAATCGATTAGATTTCCTTTTAAAATCTACTAGTAATTAGAATATTGCCTAAAATTGGATTTCGAAACTTCCCCCTAATACCAAAGTTAAAACCCTAATATAAATAAAAATGTGTTGTTCTATTTCAAAATCGATTAGATTTCCTTTTAAAATCTAATTAAACTATTGCCAAAAATTGGATTTCGAAGCTTTCCCCTAATATTAAATTAAAACCCTTAATATAAAATAGTTTTTCTTCGACCTTAAAAGACTGACCCTAATAAAAAACACCCCGGGGTTGACTAGTTTTTATTATTAGGGGGTGAAACCCTGAAATGGTAGCCTCATGTTTAAATTGTTTTCTAAAGGGGATCAATTAAAAATCAAATTGGCCAACCTCAATTTTTCCAAAATTGGAGACGGACCCTAGTTTTTATTATTTGGGGGGGTTTAGTAATAGGGGGAAGGGATGGGAAGGAATTATATATTAATTATCAACTTTTTCTGCTGAGATGGTTTTGGGATAGCAATAAGATGGTGAACCAATGGGGTTTCTTTCTAGCATCTTGCAGCTACAGTATGGCAAGGAAGCAAACGGAAACTCTTCATCCACTGCAGAACAATTTCACACGACACACCGGGACATTTGCGCTTAACTGCAGCACTTTTTTGTGATTCAGATGTTGTTTGCAACAAAATCAACGATCCCAGTCCCTTTAGGATTTGTCTAGCAAACAGGTTGTGGTCATTTCGCGTGATGTCCGTGCCCCTATGTTTCCAAATAATCCTTTCCCCCTAATACTAACCCTCCCTCCCCTAATGATAAAAAACCAGAAACGGAAAGATACTGAAAGACTGGAATATTTTTTATCTCAAGAAATTTACATTAATCTTATCATATTATCTGACCAATCTTGATCAATGATCAAAATGTTGGTGACCCATCTCCACCAGGCCGCTGCTGCAGCCCTTGGCATCCTTTGCGCCGACGGTGAGGCGGCACAATCCACGCTCCTGCGCGCTGGGGCGGTGCCGGCGCTGGTGAGGTGCGCATGGTGAAAAACCCAACCAATGTCATTCTGTCAAATTCTGTTGTCATTTTGAAATTCTGTCAGATTCTGTCATTCTGATTTTTTTTCTATGATTCTCCCAGTGTTTTAAAGATTTGCTAATGTTGCTTCAGCTGGTTTTCACGGTGGCCCTGTAATATACTGATTAAACATGCTGTGTACCATCAGAATATGCAGACCTCACAGGCTTTCAATGGTTTTCAGTTGAATCTGGGACAAAAGGCCTGAGGATGTTGTCATTTGACAAAGATGAGCTGTATGATGTCCCTGGTCCATCCGGTCCCTACCAGGGTTACCAGCTTCACGACCATAAAAAAAGGCTCTTGGGTTCCGATGCACCTGCCCGGAGCTTAGAACTAACGGAGGGCCCAGATGGGCCCAGACACAGTACGGTACAGACGATACATGCCCCGCTTTCGGCCTTTCCCGCTTTCGGCTGATGACAACATGAACCTTTCACATTGAGCATATTGACCATATTCAGCCTGAATTTGACCAAGAAACTGAGCAAATCTCCTGCCTGTTAATTGCTACGAGCCGACTTCAAGAAAGAATTCCCAGATTCCAAGACTTCAGACACACTGAATGCAGATGTATAGAAGGACCCCACAAAATGATCTCCAGAGTTTAGCCATATCCACAGCATTCCACCTCTCAAAGCCCAGGTACCTACGCGTGCTGCTGCCTCTGCTCTGCGGAACTTGGCAGCCAATCACAACCAGGCACAATTGGCCATTGCCCAGGCGGGTTGGAGAGCCAAACATCTTGATGTTTGGCATGGTTTAGCGGTTTAGCATATTTGTACATAGTGAATCATAGTGATTTGGGATGGACTGCTGGACAAGAGTTAAGACTTAAGACTGGTTCGGCACTCAATGGTACTGGCATGAGTTGTCCTGCATGTGTTTTGGCCGTCTGGCAATGGAGTAGTGGAGTAGTGTAGAAACAATGCATTCCAGTCAGAAGCAATCTTGCGATCATGCCCGTTGCAGGCTGGTGCAGTGGCTCCACTTATTCACCTGTTGTCTCACTCGGACAGGCAGTTGCAAGCCCAGGCCAGGTTTTCAGATTGTCGCATGCGCTGACGCATCCAAGATATGTAGTTTGCATTCGCATGCCTAAGACTGGCTGTGTCCTGTTCATGTTGTTTCTTGAACTGATGAAGCACAATGTCACAGCTCATCACGCTGTGTCGCAAATGAAAGACCCCATTTTGGGGGTGTAGTTCCACTAATAAACATACGTCACATAAACAGAGTTGTAAGATGTGTTTTTGTTTGATGTCAGCCCCTCGGACTGCTCCCAGACTCCCAGCACCAGGCGGCTAGTGCGCTGGGCAACCTGGCTGGTGATAGCTCCGAAAACCACTTTGATAAGCAGGCGCAACTATGAGGTCTACTCTGTCTACACTGCTTTACTTTGTTCATGTTGTATAATTACCTCAGATCAGTGCCACTATGTGTTCGGAATGATCCAACAAAAAGTTGAGGTCTTGTGATGTCATTTTGCTCACAGAACTCAGATTCAAAGTCAGATGCTTGGAGAGGTGATGATTGCTCAAGCCGGTGCCCTTACACCTTTGGTGCGCTTGCTGCGAACAACGGACAGCGCAGAAGTGTCCAAAACCTAGCACAGCCTGGTAGTTCCATTTGCACATGTTGTAATTCCATGTAATTCCTATCTGAGACTGCTCAAAGCGGATGAGATTCACATTTCCAAATGGCAAGCGGCAAGCATGAGGCGAGAAGCTTGTGCCTCCGCTCTCCGGATGCTAGCGACAAATAATGCTGACAACCAGGCGACGCTTGACCAATCTTGACCAGATAGGACTGTTTGCAGATGTCATGGCATCAAAATTATTCAATGTCGCAAAATGCTGTAAATGCTGCATGTGTCAGGTTGCTGTGGCACATGCTGGAGCTATCCAACCGCTGGTGCAGTTGTTGAGGGATGAAGCGCACCTTGGATGATGGAATCCAATGATGAACTGGCATAGGTTCAATGTTATTGTTGATTATGATGATGATGATGATGATCATCATCATCATCATCATCATCAGCATCATCATCATCATCATCATCATCTCGTTGCATCGTTGCTTTTGCATCGTTGCATCCTTGCATCGTTGCATCCTTGCGTCGTCGTCATCCTCATCATCCTCACTTAATATCATTTATATGATCATAGTAATGAAATGCTAACGACATTTGTGGAGGGCGGGCGAGATCGACGCCTCGGAGGTAGTATGAAACACCAGTTCCATCCGTGTATTTAGATGATGTATGTGTAAACAAATTGGATTCTGTATGTGTAAATGGCCGGGGGGGGGCCAAGGAAAACCTTCCCGGAGGTAGTGAGTGGTAGTGTTTGTATGTTCAAAACTCCATATATTTATATAAATGTAGGCACCGTAGAACTACAGAAATCGTTCAAGTATGTAACATTATGGAACAGTATGTACATCATGATGACAGTGGTGATGACTCTCAAGATTTCAAGAACCAGTGTAACCAGTGTAGATATTGGCACGGTGTCTGACGCTGCCCAGCCGTATTTTAAGCGCCGAGGCCTTCTGTCCGGGAAGAGGCGGCTGCAGCTCTGGGGAATCTGGTGTTCTTCAATGATGAGACCAATGCCGGAAACCAGGTCAGCCAGATTCAGCCTGCATGTCGTATTCAGATCAGCAGATTGGGGTAAGTTGATGTTGTGTGAGGTTATTTGTTTCAAGACCGAAAGCTCCAGAAGTTGCTTGAGATATTGAGAGCACTTTGCGTTTGAACTGGAGAGCATTGGACACGTGCTGGAATGTTCGCCGCGAAGCCGTGAACGGTTTAAGTCAAAGTCTACAAGCTACTACAGTAGTATCCTATTCGTCCTTGTCATGTCGCTCTACAGCTCCATGGAAGCCGCCATGAAGGTCCTGTACGACAAAGGTGGGGGTGAGGGAAAGCAAGTGGTCTCCATAGTCCAGCAGATGATGGAAGACAACCGGAAGTGCCCTGTGATGGCCGGCCAAACTCACCCCATCATCATACTTGAGGGTTTGGATGGCACCGGCAAAACGACCATTGTGGAGGGACTTCAGCAAAAGATGGGAGAGGTAAATTGCCTTCGCAGCCCTCCAGACTGTCTTTCCAGCTTCCGACCACATTTTGATGGCCAAGTGCCACACGTTCGCCGGGCTTTCTACTTGGTGGGCAACTACGCTTGTGCCCTCAATATCAGGAAAAATGCAGACAAGCCCATTGTGATTGACCGCTTCTGGCCATCCACGATGGCATATGCCTTGGCAATTGACCACCAGGCTTGCTCCGTCGTTTCAAGTCGTGTTTGTTTTTCTTGTACTCTGCATGTAGTGACAGTATGATCAGTGTGTGAGGGCGACGTGCAGCGATGTGTGAAAGATTCTCACATGATCTCACATGAGCCATTAAAAATACCCTGGTGAATTGATTGCTATAGGGGATTATACTGCCTGGTTTACTGGGGATTATGATAACCCATAGTAGGGAAACCTATCAACCAACTAGTATAATGAAATGGAATAGGGTTAATTTTAATGGCTCACATGATACTGTGGTCATAACACAAAGCCAGTTGTGGCCAGTTCATCTAGTGATTCATTACCTGCCACATGGCCATGAGTTCAACTTGTTAGGTGTCGCCTGATGAGATGCCAAAGGAGTTGGAGGGGGCATTGGCCATGCCTTTGGACCTGCAGGACTTGATGCCCGGTCCCGTGGTGTGGCTTCTGCTACATCTTCCTGAGGAAGAACGTGTTGGCCGCGTGCGCCATCGCGCAGGAAATGGCAGTGGAATGACTTCAGAAGAGAAGAAGTTGGAGACCCCAGGGCTTGCTGATCGTCTCATGAAAGTCTACCGGGCCTTGAGGATTGGAGATGCTGGACTGGTGGAAATCAACGCATCTGGCAGCACAGAAGAAGTGCTCGCCCGGGTGCATAAGGAGACGACCTCCAAATGCGTAGAATGGAACCGGCTGACGCCAGTCTCAGTGCCCAAGTCGGTGAACTGGCATTACACAAGGGTGTGCAACTACCAGTGCAAATTTTGTTTTCACACTGCAAAGACCAGCTTCTTTCTACCCAGCACATCAGAAGGCCTCCAGGAATCCAAGCAATGCTTGGCACGCTTGCGTGACGCAGGCATGCAGAAACTGAACTTCAGTGGTGGGGAACCCTTCCTCCATGCAAAAGCTCTGGGAAACTTGGTCCGGTACTGCAAAGAGGAGCTCCACTTGGAGTCAGTGAGCATCGTGTCCAACGGAAGCATGATCAAGCGGGAGTGGATGGAGAAGTATGGAAAGTACCTTGACATCTTGGCCATTTCCTGCGACTCCTTTGTTGAGGAAACCAATGTGCGCATCGGCCGTGGCAAAGGCGAGCATTTGGATCAGTTGGAGAACATCCACAAATGGTGCGATGAGTTCACAGTCCTTTTCAAGATCAACAGTGTTATCAACAAGCACAATGTGAATGAGGACATTCTTCTGGGACCAGAGAGGGGGCATGTCGGGGACATGGCAAAGGGATCTAAAGGTGTGAATTCAGCACATGACTAGCTCCACCGAATTTAGTTTCGCACAACTAGACACCCACGAGCAGTGTAGAAACATGTCAATATAATTATAGAATAGAATATATTTCTTTGGTGTTCAGATCATTTCAGATCATCCGATTGTGACACAAGAACCTCCATGACTTTTCATGCAAACAGTCACAGCCTCTGTCTCAGGACATGTCTGGCTCTATCGAGCGCCTGAAGCCCGTCCGTTGGAAGGTCTTTCAATGCCTTCTCATTGAAGGTGAGAATGCAGGCGAGGATGCCATACGGAATGCAGAGAGATTGATCATCTCGAACCAAGAATTTCAAGGCTTCATCGACAGGCACAAAAACAACAAAATGGTGAAAGAGATCTTGGTCCCTGAGAGCAATGAGAAGATGAAGGACTCGTACCTGATTTTGGACGAGTACCTCCGATTTCTGAATTGCACCAGTGGGGCCAAGGTCCCTGGCCCTTCAATCCGAGAGGTCTCAGTGGTGAGTGCCCTGCGGACGGCGGGCTTTGATGAGAAGATGTTTTACGACCGGCTCGGTGAATATGAATGGAGCAAAGACAAGGTGCTGAGGAAACAGAAAAGAAGCTACATGGCATACAGCACAGGCCTTGTGGTTTTCAGCCTCGCACTTTGTGGTGCGGCATTGGTTGCAAAAAAGCAGCGGTGCTAGGTCCAATCAGGGTACAACAGAAGCGATTGCATATGAGAAAAGACCTAAAAGCAAAAAGCTCCATGCAAATACCCTTACCGGAGAGGTCTTGCGAACTACATATAATGCGAAAACCTTTGCAAAGCGATATAGCGAACTACATATATAGCGATAACTCCTGCATCGAGACCGGCTTTGCGACCCGTGGTTTTGGTTTTTTCTCATATGTTCACTATGTCACTATGTTCTAGCATGTGCCGAGGGCGCAACCTCATCAGTGGAATTTAACCCACAGATGGGGCTTGCTCTCCTGGTACAAGCACCTCAAACTGTACAGCCAGAGGCGAATGCGTTGACATAAAATCTGCACAAAATGCGACAAAAGAAACCAGTGCAACATGGACACAACATGACACAACTATACACAACTTTGAGACACGAGCTTTGCACTCATAACTGTTTCTTTCAATCAGCATTGAAGCCAGCATTGAATTCCATTTCCAAAGCCATACAGTTTTGAGGGAAATCCATGTAACATGGATGGGAATTCCATGCAAATCCCATCCATATCCATCCGTTTGAATCCGCAGCCAGAAAAACCCAAGCATCCCTGCAATTCCATGTTCGAAAAAATACTGTATATCATCCAGATTTGGGATGATTTGGGATGTTCATTGTGATTTTTTTTTCCTTTTTTTTTCCGTTGATTTTCCATGGGATTCTGCAGATTCCTCACCGCTAAAAAAGGCCGCCATCGCCGAAGCTGGCGCCGTGCCCCACCTGGCTGCCTTGCTGAAGGATCCCAAGGCTCAGGTCACCGCAGCTGGAGCCTTGAGGAACTTGGCGGCGCAAAATGTCGCCAACCAGGAGCCGAAAGGAAGAAACGTTGCCGAAAGGTTTGAAACGGCGGCAGCTGTATGATTTGAAAATGCTATATTGATGATAATCTTATCTATATCATATTTGTTCTGTTTACTTCAGTAGTTTTATTTTTTATGTAGAAAAGAGAGAAAAGGTGAAACAAAAAAAAACTTTATTTTTTTTGTAGGATTTTTGCTGTTCTATCTTTTTTGGATGTGGCTAAATATGGACATAGTATCGTGACTTGGGTAAGTTTGAACATGTGGTATACTTACCATGGTAATTGCCAAAAGACTCCATAAGTTGGTAACAAATTCAAGATGACTTCATCAGTGGTCATCCAGGAAGCCATTTGTCGAGATGCGCTGCAAAGCTTGGTGCAGTTGGTGACGGATGGAAAGCCCAAAGCACAGGTGTCCTGTTTAACTGCAGCGTGGCAGAGCATGACAGAGCGTGAGTGGTCACAGTGGTCACTTGATCATTGTTTCATTGGCATGAATGGCACGAAATCCAGAGGTACTGTTTGGTACTGTAGTAGTAGTGTAGACTGAGTCGCACAGAAAAACTCCGCCCATTTGTCGAAGCTCCAGGTGGAAGCAGCTGGTGCCATCCATAACTTGGTCAGGGCCCAGTATGCCAGGTGAATGCCTGGATAGGGTTGTGGGTTTTTCAACCTTTCAGATCTCCGAGACAGTTCAGTTTGCTATGAGTATGATCAATCTACCTGTACTCGTACATCTACTCCATTGATTTCTATTTCCCGAATACTCTCGGGCCGTGCCTGAAGTCTCCTTCTCAGCAAATCTCAGTACCCCAACGGGAGTTGTATGATATTGATATTGCATGATATTGCATGATTGGATGTGTGCAGGCAAACGTACGGTAACCACGTTTAAATATGTGGAGGGCGGGCCAGACCGTGAGGCCCAGGAGGTAGTATAAAATACCAGTTCGTATCTAAATGTAGTTACCGTATGTTTAAATGGCCGGGCGGGCCAAGGAAAACCTTCCCGGAGGTAGTCTAAAATACCTGTTCGTATATTTTAAAATCCGTATATATATTTAAATGTAGTTACCGTATTTTCACTACTATTGCACCATATTGGACCACAGACTGTTCTTTTCTTGAAGCTGTCCAATTTTTTCAACTTGATGCCAGAAAAATTCCGTCTCGAACAGACTAAGGCGGCTGGCAACGCCAAGAGCCAGCAGCTCATTGTTGAGGCTTCCGTCTTGAGAGTATTTGGGAGTCCATTTACAGCGACATTAAGAGGTACAGAGAGGTACCAGTTCCTCAAAACCTCCTCCACCTTAAAAGATGCAGTGACAGGCCTTCAGAGAATATGGACAGTAAGAACTTGCAGTTGCCAACAGGTGGATTCTGGTCAGATCTGTGTCTTTTGGCTGAAGCCATTTACTTGCCCCACCTCACTGCTCGGAGTCAAAACAAGTGCTGGACTTGAACGAGAACATCATATTGATTCATATTGTATCTCAGTGTTTCTTTCATAAATATCATAAATGTCATAAATGCTATCGTAAGATTGTGGAGATTGTGAGGCTGGTGCTTTGGAACCACTGGTAGCCTTGCTGAAGGAAGAGGCAGTTGGCCCGGTGTACAGATGTTTCATTTTGTAAAAATGAGAAGTAGATCAGACCAGTCTCTAAAGAATGAACGGCATGATGAAATAATGTCAATGAATCGCCATTTCGGGAGTCAAGTTCAGATCAATTCTCACAAGACCACCAGTATCCATCAGCCCTCACCACTGCTTTTGGCATCTAAACATCCCGTGGAAATCCTTGGAATCTCTGATCGGCTCAGGCTCCCCGTGTGCGAGAAGTTGCTGCTGGAGCTTTGTGGGCTCTGGCAAGGGACAATCCAGAACTACAGAGCGCCATAGATCGATCTGGAGCCATTCAACCAACTTCCAAAAAAACAAGTAAGCTAAAATAATTTGATAATGACTAATCCATTGAATCGAAAATTGTATAAAATTATAATTATATCTACAGTACTGGTAATTACAAAAGCCAGCCGACAGGCTAGGCTAAAGTTGTCCCATGCGAACGAAGTGAGATTAGGGGGTCTGGGGGGTAGTTGCTGACGAGTAATTCCACGAGTGAGTCCAAAATCTCGTAAATAATAGATGGTGATTAGGGTGTGTATTTTGATCGTTTTTCCACCGTGACGCAATCGGGTGACGGTCATGCATTCCCTGGTCCGTATCCAGAGCACTATTTAGAAGAGGTGTCTGCTGGTCAGCCCCCTCCTTCCGCAAGGTTTACGCAGGCGTGTCTGCCAGGTTTTATTCGCCAGACCGTTTTCAGACTACAGGCAATATTGATCTGTGTCATTGCTTTAAGTTGGCGTCTTCGAAGGTCTACTTCTTGAGAGTGTTTGGAGTCTGTGAATGCTGGAGCGCCCATTGTAGTGGTCAGTCTATGTAGGGTTTATTCAGGATGTGGATTGGAGGTTGTGCCTGGGATTGTCTAAGGTGTAGCACCTGTACTTAGCTTGGGATATATGTGTGCTCTAATTTAGAATGACTTGTGGTTACCGTGGTTGAAGAAACTGTGGGTAGAAGTCTTTGTTATTATTCTGAGCGATTCTGAGTGTATATGTTTGGGTATGTCTGGGTGTAAAGCATTGCATTGTATGCGCACATGCCCTTCTGTAAGGTGCATCCAAGAATAAGTTTGAATGCTGTACTGAAATGTGCTGGCTAGGAAGTTGTGCTTGATGTGTTGCTTTCTTTTGAAATGTTGTTGCAAGAGGTTCCCGCTGGTCTTGCCCTTCCAAGGAAAAACATCTAGTGATGTTGGTCTAAAAATGTTTATTCTGGAATTGTGGTTAGAATATAAGCATTATATACAGTACTGCACTGTGCTGGATCGGTGGTTGTGCTTGGCGTTGTCAAAGGTGTAGCTTCTGTAGTTTGGGGTCTATGTACGCTCTAATTCAGAATGACCCGTTGTTGAATAAACTGTGTGGGCAAAGGGGTAAGTGTCCACTATTGCTCTGACTGTGCATTCATGGGAGGTTTCCCAAACCCTGCAAAAACACAGTGTTTCTCTACCCCTGTAGCCCCTGCATATTTCATTTTAGCATAAGCATCGCAAATCGCAGGGATCAACAGGTCAAAAATGTAACATGGTCATGGGAGGTTTCCCAAACCCTGCAAAAACACAAGGGTTCTCCACCCTAGCCCCTGCATCTTACATTTTACCATAAGCGTACGCGCATCGCAAATCGCAGAAATCAATAGTTCAAATTGTCCCAGAGTGTCCAGGAATTTTCAAGAATTTCAAAAAAAAAAAAACATCATTTGAAATCCACAGAACAACAAAACATAAATTACCATCGG